AAAAAAAAAAAAAAAAAAAAAAAAAGCTACTTTACACTTAAAAACGGGGAAGTTTATGATAAATAAACTGTACCACAAGAAAGCTGCTAAGAAAGAAAAGAAAAGAAAAGAAAAGAAAAGAAAAGAAAAGAAAAGAAAAGAAAAGAAAACAGAAGTATGGCTGTCTAAAGTGCTAGCGTTGGCAAATTATACCCGCGGGAGGATGCCATGTGCACCGCCAGAAGAACAACATCAACCAAAAAGGCAAAAGCAGTTCAGAAAGAGCCTCAGGAGGGCCTAAACAAGGCCAACAGACAAACAGCGCGGGAAGCCAAGGGTCCCCTCCACTTGCTAGAGCCATGGTCAAGACAGATTGTAAACAGACCAACTGACCCTCAAAATCGTGATGAATTAAAATGCCCACCATGAAGCTCCCCGTCGGGGTTTACCTCAAGCACTTGAAAATGACGGTGGGGACAGATCCACAGATCACGGCACCAAGCAACATAATCCAGTCGGATCCTACATGACTACACGGATCATATTAGACCGAGTAAAGCAAGGTGACATTAGCATAAAAGCTTCGTTTTAAAGGTATGACATCCTTGCCAATCTGTCAGCCCTAGCGACTGGATTCTTTACCATATTCTTAAAAGGAACATTTTTAAACTCCCCTCCCACCCCCCCTTTAACCTCATCCCTCACCCTCGTTTCAAATCAATCCTGGATAGTCAGAAGAATGTTATCTTTCATTTGTTTCCAGCTAGGTTGATACAGTGACTATAAATTAAATCGTGTTCCAGGTCGCAACGGTTTTAAATAGGAAAGGTATATAGAGTTTAAAAAATGAATACAAATGCTATTTGTACCTTTCTTTTGTTTCAGGCGTTTTATGCTATTGACTTTCAATCTGATGTACACTGTGAATAAGTTGAGATGCCCTTCAAAATATTTACCAATGTCATTGCTACAGGATGTAGATTATAACGTCCTAACGCACAGCTGAGATAACTGGTATATTATGGCATAAGGAGCCTTGCAGAAAACACCTTGCTGGGGCGCCTGGGTGGCTCAGTCGTTTAAGCATCCAACTTAGGCTCAGGTCATGACCTCATGGTTTATGGGTTCGTGCCCCACATCGGGCTCTGTGCCAACAGCTCAGAGCCTGGAGCTTGCTTCGGATTCTGTGTCTCCCTCCCACCCTCTCTTCCCCTCCCCCACTCACGCTCTCTCTTTCAAAAGTAAATAAACATTAAAAAAAAAAATTACCAAAAAAACCCCCACCTTGCTGGGTAATAAAAACAAAGTTCTACTTTGTTCCTTAATTAGGAAAATTCTAGAATGGAAACTCAAAGTATATAGGACTTTATAGCACAACCTAATACATAGTTCAAGTGAGTCCTGCTACCACTCATGTTAGATTTACGATTTACTCTTGTGAGAGTATTTTTATTTACCCAGACTTAAGATCGGCTTCTGCTGACTTGCTGGAGTCTGTAGAAGCAGTAAAGCTATTCCAATTATGACCAGTTCAACAGGAAAATCCTAAAAGAAAAACAAGAGTGGAATTAAAGAAGTTCCCAGAGCCATGCTTTATTAACACGTATCCAGGAAGAGTACATAACACATGAGAGATCTTAAACCTATTGTACAACGTTATTTTTTTTTAATTTTGTATTTTATTTTTTTATTTTTTTTTCAATATATGAAGTTTATTGTCAAATTGGTTCCCATACAACACCCAGTGCTCATCCCAAAAAGTGCCCTCCTCAATTGTACAACGTTATTTACAGTTAGCCTGCTCTCCTACAGGAAGGATGGTGACTGCCGCGGCAGTGACACGTGAATTCAAAACATTATCGCACCTGGCTGAAGAGCCTAGGCTATACCCCAAATCACTTTAAAGCAGAAAACTCTGTAACACAACAGACTGACAAGTCTTCAAAACGAATTTTTCAAACCACTGAAAACCTACGTGAAATACTACGAGATACTTCATTTCTGCAAAGTAGCTCAACTAATCCAGACTATACAACTTAGGTAAAGAACTACACTTACCAAATTTTAGTAACTCGTGGTATTTTTATAAAAGAAACAATAGTACCCAGGGAGGCAGAAATTATTTTTACATGACAGTAATCTATTAAGCACATTTAAATGTAGCAAAGCAATAACCATAGAAACTGAAAAATATTTTCATCAAGTATATAAATGAAATGAAAAAGAAGAATGTGAACATCAAGTTCTAATAAATAAATTGCAAAAAACATAAGATATTATTTGAGCTTTCTAAATAAAGAAAACATTAACGTATTCTGGAACTAAAGAAGAAAGGTCCAGGCTTTTGCTTAAATTTTCCTGAAGTTACTTCGTTTCTGAAATTTTACAGAAACACCTGCCGAGCAGAAGAGTCTAGGAACTGTGAAGACAGGCAAGGGAAAAAAAAAAAAAAGGAAAGGAAAAAAAAAGGAAACAAGAGCTAGAACCAAGTGTTAAGAAAACACTTGGAGAAAACAAATTAGTCTGACAAATTCAAAGTTATAATCTTGGAAATACGCTCAACTCCGGCACCGTATATAATAAATAAACATCCACATCTCTGTTATACCATTTAAAAAGTGAAAATAAACTGCACACTCTTCCAAAGTGCTTATTTATGGACTTCTCAAAACCAGCAAAGAAAGAAAAATTGTGAACTGTTTTAAAGGAATATTTTCTAATGTGTGTCTTTGGGCCTATACCTGCTCACTGTTTTGAAATACAGTTGAGAACAATGAAGCAATGGCTATCTACTTGAGGACAATCAATGCATTTTGAAACCAATATGCTTACTGTATATACTGTCATACTATTCTTTGCCATTATCTTTTCGTCAGTTTCATTTCAAATTCTGCATGTCCACTTATTTTTTATTTTTTTATTTTTAGAGAGCATGCACAAGCAGGGGAAAGGTGCAGAGAGAGAGAGAGAGAGAGAGAGAGAGAGAGAGAATCTTAAGCAGGCTCCATCCACACCCAGTGCAGAGCCTGACATGGAGCCTGATCCCAAGAACCTGGGATGATCACCTGAGCTGAAATCAAGAGTCGGATGCTCAAGCAAGTGAACCACCCAGGTGCCCCTCCGTGCCCAGTTTAAAAAAGAAAAAGCAGGGGCTCCTGGGTGGCTCAGGCAGTTGAGCGTCCGACTTTGGCTCAGGTCATGATCTCACAGTTTGTGGGTTCAAGCCCCACGTCAGGCTCTGTGCTGACAGCTCAGGGCCTGGACCCTGCTTTGGATTCTGTGTCTCCCTCTCTCTCTTCCCCACCTCTACTCTCACTTTGTCTCGCTCTATCTCTCAAAAATCAATAAATGTAAAAAAAAAAAAACATTTGACAAAACTCAACAATCATTTATCATAAAAAAACCTTCAACAAAGTGAGTAGAGAGGGAACATACTCTAAAATAATCAAGGATATATATGACAAACCCACATCTCACATCATACTCAATGGTGAAAGTTAAAAGCTTTCCCTTTAAGACCAGGAACAAGACAAGGATGCCCACTCTCACCCCATTATTCAACGTAGTATGGGAAATCCTAGCCACAGCAATGAGGCAAGCAAAAGAGATAAAAGACATCCAAATTAGAAAGAAAACTGTCACATTTGCCGATGACATATACTACATACAGAAAACCCCAAAGCCTCCACTGAAAAACTATTAAAATAAATGAATTCAGTAAAGTTGTGGGATACAAAAATCAACATACAGAAATCTGTTGCATTTCTATACACTAATACTAAACTATCAGAAAGAGAAATTAAGAAAACAATCCCATATACAACTGTTATCAAAAAAGAAAAAAATACACAGGAATAAATTTAACCAAGGAAGTAAAAGACCTGTACTCTGACAACAATAAGGGACTAATGAAAGAAACTGAAAAGGACGCAAATAAATGGAAAGATATTCATTCCATGTTCATGGGCTAGAAGAATTATTGTTACAACGTTCATACTTCCCAGAACAATCTAAAGATTCAAAACAATCCCTATCAAAATACCAATAGAATTTTTCACCAAACTAGAACAAGTAATCCTAAAATTTGTGTGGAACCACAGAAGGACCTCAAACAGCCAAGGAAATGTCGCAAAAGAACAACAAAGCTGGAGGTATCACACTCCCAGGTTCCAAATTATACTGCAAGTTTACAGTAATCAAAACAGTATGGTACTTACACAAAAACAGACACACAGATCAATGGAACAGAACAGGGAGCCTGGAAATAAACCGACACTCCTATGGATGATTAATCTTCGACAAAAAAGGCAAGAATATACAATGGGGAAAGGACAGTCTCTCAAATAAATGGTGCTGGGAAAAACTACACAGCTACCCGCAAAAGAATGAAACTGGACCACTGTCTTACACCATACACTAAAAAACTAAAAATGGATTCAAGCCTTACTATAACACTTAAAATGATAAAATTCCTGGAAGAAAACATAGGCAGTAAGCAATCAGAAGTTGGTCTTAGCAGTATTGTTTTGGGTGTTTCCTGAGGCAAGGACAACAAAAGCAAAAAACAAGCCGATGAGACTGCATCAAAATAAAAAGCCTTTGCACAGCAAAGGAAAGGAAATCATTGACAAAATGAAAAAGCAATCTACGGGACGGGAGATCATTCGCTAATGATCTGATGAGGGGTTAACATCCAAAATGTGAGAAGAACTGTGTTTTTACATATTTTCTATATCTTACCTAGAAATATTATGTGTCATAAACAGCAGATGTTATATATCTAATAGGTATGGTTATATATATTTATACATCTAAATAGGGCTTTGATCTATAATGATTATCCTGTTATATACAACATACAGTAGAGATAACAGATTTTATGTAATAGAGATAAAATATTGATCTTTATAAAACAGAGATATTCTATTACTATAGAATATATACCACATATTACTATTACACATATCAACATATATTATAGAACACAAACACATCGTTGACAAATTGACAAATTTGCCTTCCTTGGCTCCCACTTCCTTCTAAAATCTACATCCCCTTTCTGTTTCCTACCTATCACTTACTCCTTTATTCTAATTTGGTTCCATCACTCCAAACTGCTTCCTCTAATGCAAACAATAAACTTCTACTCACTGCATCCTAACAGTACTTTCCATACCTTATTTTAAATACTCTCAGCATGACAATATTGGCCATTCACCTTTTCGAAATAGGAGCTATTCCTTCCCTTGATTTTCAGGTCCTCAGTCTCTTCTGTTTAACATGTAATCCTTCTAGCCATCCGCTCTCCCCATTTTCAGTACACTCTAGCCCCTGGAGTTCCATGAAAACCCACGCAATGCAATCCCATGGCTAAAACTCCCACCCCGAAGTAGATGTCTACAAAGCTACACCTTTCGCTTAAAAGCTTCTATCCTGAATTTCAAAACCACATACCCAACTATCTATGATTCATATATACCTCACACCAAGTCTCCCCAAAACCAAGATTTGTCATCTTCCCTCCAACATCTGCTGCCATCCCCCCAAGTGAATGGTGCCATCCAGATGCCCAGAAGAGAAAGCTGAGACTCTTGTCAAGGAACTTCTCCTTTGCCATCTAATCAGTCACAAAGCCCTACTGACTTCATCTCCCACATCTCTCTTTTCCTACTCTCTTGCTCTCCATCTTCTACTCTTTCCTACTCTCTTCTCCTAATCAGCCCCTTGCTATGGACAGAAACGTTGCCCCACCACACAAATAAACATGCTGAAGTCCTAACTACCAATGTGACTACGTTTGGAGTGCAGAATTAAAGTTAAATGAGGTCATAAGGGTGGGGCCCTCATCCAGTAAGAATAGTGTTCTTTTAACAAGAAGGAATGGCTCACTCTTGCTCTCTCCCCACCCTGTGAGAACGCAGCAAGGAGGCAGCTATCTACACGCCAGGAAGAGATTCCTCACCAGAATCCAGTCAGCCAGCACCCTGGCCTGGGACTTCCTGGTCTCCAGAAGCGTGAACAACGAATTTGTGTCGTTCAAGCCACCCATCCCGTGGTAGTTTGTTACAGCCACTCCAACGGTCTAAGACGTGGCTCCTCACTGCCTGCCCCAGTAGTGTTGCCCTGCTCTAAAAACCTCCTCCACTGTCCCACCACAATGATCTTCCACACCCAAAAACAGGAGGGCACCTCCATGCAGAAAGGTTGCAATAACACGCCTCGCTTAGAAGATAAAGTGTAAATTCATTCGTGTGGCACAGAAGACCTTTCGTGGTAGGCCCAGCCTCCTCCCCTACATCTTGATCGGTCAACAGTACCTTGTTGACACCTTGTTTTCTGAAAAGGTCACGCCTGCCCAGCTTGCTCATGTTTCTGTGTTTGGGCACATGCTGTTCCACAGCTGGAATGCCTCCCCAACACCTGGTTTGTATCAGGCAAACCCCTCTTCAGACTTCCTCAAATCTGAACTCAAGGCCCTGCTTCCCTTAATTTGTACTCCCACTGCACTTTCCAGATCCTCCCAGAAAAGCATTTAATTTACTGTCCTCCAATTATTTGCGTTATTTTTTTGCACGTTTGTAAGTCTCTTGGGGTCACAGACTGTACCTTCTCTTGTATGTATTCTACAGGGTCGAGCATATAATAGGTGCTCAGTACTTGTGTTGTATGTGAATAAATGAAAAACAAAATGCTACAGGGGTAGACCCTTACCTGGTGCTCCAAATTTAGTGACTCGTTTTTATAACAGATGACAGCAGTAGCACATTAATAGTATGATCTAATGGTATTTGATCAAAACACCTTTGATAGGCAATGAAGTAAAAGAATACACTCACCCTGCTTTGAAAGGCCCACTTAAGGGACAACAGGGATATTAAAATTTCGTACTATCCTTACCTCCTTCAGAAGTTCAACGCTGTGTTCTAAAAGGTGAATTAACGAGGAGCATTCCCCAGTTATCTTTAAGCTGACTTCACAGACACACAAGAGCTGAAGGGTCAGCTGGCTAAGCTGAATTTTCCAGAAAATGGGATGACGCAGAAGGCTTAAATATACTTCTTCAATAAACGTCATCACTTCTGTTGTCTGGACCAAATCTTTTACCTGTTTAAAAAACAAATTAATTGTATGATATTAAAACAATATACAAAACCAAAGGGTAATTGTAAACTACACAGGAAGCTTTAACAATATTCTTCTCCAAATGTATGAAGACTTCCAAGAAATGAAGAAATGTACAATACTCAAAGAGGATTAAACCATGGATCAACTCCGCCTTTTTCTGTCACTAGCCAAAATACAATTTGCTACTGTTTTCATTGCTGCTGGCTGGTCCAACTTCTTTTCTTTTCTTTTCCTAACTTCTCTGAGTGCAGATTTTTTTTTTTTTTTTAAAGACAAATTACATGACACTGCCAACATGTTGAAGGAAATTAATTAAAGCTGGTTTTGAGTTCTCCAAATGAACTCTCCTTTCTACAATTCCAACATAGTTGCCTGGAAGAAATGGGTTGGCATGTTAGTCTATGTACTACTAAGCCCTTCACCTGGAGGTTATTTGCTCAGACCACCTTAACTGAGGGCATCATTTCCACACTTGGCAGATGCAATGGAAGACCATGTTCAAAGGGTAGGATGTCTACTCAACAGGCTAATGTATTAGATAGGAAGGACTTGGGTGCTCTTGAAAATCCCAATTCAGTTCAAACCCAGCTGTTCCGATCAAAATTCTGGAGTTGGTATTAAGGATATGGTCCTACTCACAGACACATTGGCATTTCCCAGAGATTCCAAACAATGAACCATCTGCTTCAATCCGAAGCCTCATGTCTGTTAAATTCATCAAGAGGAAAGCCTACAGCTGACCAGCTGTACCTTTCACCAGTTGTTACCACCATAATAACCCAAAATGACTTTAAGTTATACCAAGAGAAAAATCAATGGCTAGCAAACAAAAAAGATATTAAAAGATCAAGGGAGATAGAAAATACTAAGTTATAAAAAATAAATGTGAACAGTCCAACAGCTAAATTATTTTGCTCTTTTGCAAATATACAATGAGAAAGGAAAAAGGCCACCAAGAAAATGGATTTAAAACAAAGCCTCAAGTTTATTGGACAATGTATTTCCTTGAGTGTATTTTTTTGTGCATACTTGAAATTTTCCATAATAAAAAAATCGGGGGACAACCTCAGCAAGTTAGCATCAAAGGCTCTCTAACCTGTAATATCACCAAAATTTGTAACAATATTTATGAAGTAATGTTCTTTCTTGATGTAGCAATAGGTCATGTACGATAGACAACATGTGTGATGACAAAGTCAACAGCGATGTTTAAGGCAGGTAAATCCAAAAAAAAAAAGACAATTCCACAAATACAACATGGAAGAAATATTGGTGTAAAAAGAAAACAGGATTTCCTTGACTATGATTTCAGCCATCAGTGGCATGGCTTTCTCTAAAATAATTTTTTTTTAAATTAATGAGATCCTACTCAAGTGCATAGTATGGGTCACACCACAAGTACAGGAGTATATTCAGCTCTAAAAAGAACATTTCATAGTGATACATTCTGAGCCGTGATAAGCTAAAGAATTCCTGGCAACGGACAGGGAAAAGTCTGGAAACATTGGCAAAGAAAGTGATGAAGGAAAGAAAGGAGGGGAGGATGGAAAGGAAGAAAGGGAAAGAAAAGAGAAATAGACAACATAAAACAGGATGTAGATGGGCTCTTTTTAAAGCCTACTTTGTTCTGTTCTACGAAGAAGGGAGACTAACGGGTAAAATCTTAGGAAAATGCAGGTCAATTAGAAGTACTTGAAGAAAAAGGTTGCCTTGCAAAATCGCATGCTTCTGATCACTAAAATATTTCATTAGTCATGGGATGGTTATCTCAGAGAACTGAAGAAACACCTGGGAAAACGCCTCAGTGGGAAAACGCATGACATCGCCACTAAGATCCCTCCAGATGTGGAGATTCTTCATATTCTAAGAAAGCCGATTTGTAACATGATTAAATGTATTTATGTCGCTAGCTCCATTAGTTCAAAATGATGTATCCCTTTTTTGTTCACCTGTCGTGACTATTAAACAAGCCACAGACTGCCAGAAATGTTCCACAGAGCTCACTGCTAGAAGTTATTTAGGCTTGTCAATAATCGGTTTGTAAGGATGAATGCAAACATTCAAAGAACCGCGAACAGTTTCAGGCAAGCATGCGGTGGCAAAGTGCGCCCCGGTTCAAGATGTTCTGCCTACACACTGCTTTATTGCCCACACAAAACAAAAGCTTTGGAAAAAGCCACAGGAGAATTCGTTTTAATTAACGTTTCTCTGCCTTGATTACAGCAAAGCCTATTTATGAGTCGCAAAGGAAAGATTCACTCGAGTCACTCTTTGGGAGCACAAACTTAAAACCGGTCATCTGTGACCTCAAGTGATCGCTCTGAAAAATATTCACAGATTCCCTCCATCAGCTAAGCAACATGGGGCTCAGAGTCTAGGCAAAAGACAAACCTCGATGATAACATGGGATGGCCTGATAAATTAACTCACAACACTAATATCTCAACACACGGGCAACTGGTATTTTTTTTTTTTTTTTTTT